TTTGCTCTGTGGCGAGAAGCTGATTTTGTTGTCGCCTCTAAACGCACAACAAAACCGCCGACCGCCGTCAGGTGGATATGGAAACGGCCCTCAACAATGAACAACAACACATGTTTGTTGTAAACTGGCCGCAGTTTACAGTCGAAGTCGACACTCGCTTATGCTGCCATTCTTACCTTGGTGACAGAGTCTGCAGAGGTGCGATGGTTGGCCGACGACGACGACGTTTGGCGACCAGACTTAGACTTGGGACCTGAACCCTGGCCGGTCGACGCGTTCGAGCCACTGGTCACGCCGCCGCCACCTCCACCTCCACCACCACCACTTGCGCCGGGTGTAAAAATGGTCGAAATGACGTGGCCGACCGACGAGTCCATTGGAGACCCTGAAAAAAGCGCAAACGTGAACGAACGAACGAACGAACGCAAGTCCAGCCACTCCAGCCACCAACTGTTGCCATGCAGTGTACCTTCGCCGTCGGTTCCGTCGGGAGCATTAAGACATTTCTGTATCAACGCCTTGCCCGCCTCGCTGGTGATCATCGGTTGCAGCTTCTTGGTGGCGAACGTGTACACGTGGCCGGTCTCCGACGCCACCAGCAGCATCACCTGAGTGCCGGTCAACGTTGACAGCTCGTACGCCTAAACATGGGCTTTTCTTTTCTTCAGTACGCAATTGCAACAAACTTTATGTGGTCGTATACGGAAACAACACCAAAAGCAAAAAACACCATTACATAAATTAATAAAACAGTTTTCGGTCTATCTACAGATATATAATACGTACGCACCTTCTTCATGATGCCGGTTTTGCGCTTGCTGAACGTCGTGTACCGCCGAAGTTTGTTGTCGATGAACTCCATTTTAATCTTCACGCGGCCTTTCGTCTTCTTACCGTTGGGCAACAACGGACGAAGCTTGCCGTCGGTCCCCTGGCCGTTGGTAAAGTTGCTAGGAGACACCGGATTGACGATGGTAATGCCGGCGGAACCGGGGGACATTGACGGGCCGTCTCCGTTGCTTGACGCCGGGGTATTCGACTTCGGGGTCTGCTGCTGAGATTGCTGTGGTTGTGGTATTATTCCTGACTGGAGGGGGGTCTTCGACCTACTGCCGCTACCTGACGGAGGTGAGTCGGTAAAGCTGAGGCTGAAACAACTTTCGCCCGGAACCATCATGTCACCGCCACAATGACTGGACATGCTGCTTACTACCGACAGCGCCACAAACCGATCCTCCGACTGAGCACTTGCTCAAATCGGAAACTGCCTTCGCAGAAAATCCACTCACGGTGGGAGGGAGCTGCGCACGCAGCGTCCTCTGGTGGCGAAAGCGATAAATGCCGTCGCGCGTGACGTCACCCATCGAATATTCTTGATATATAAGAAAATATGTCGCCACCTCTAGATCAAAATACTCGGGACGTACCTGTTGCGTGAGAATGCGATGAGAAAACATTCAAATCGCTAATGTCTCAAAAACGGACACCTGGACTATGAATAAAAGCTGATGATCTGATTTAACACGACCTACCGTACACCGCTGACTTGCTGCCTTATTTGGCGAAAACGTCGAAGTTACCGCCGTCGGGTATCAGGTGATTTAAATTTGCTAATGATGTGCAATTACTCAAAAATAATTTAATTTCCATGAATAAGGTAAATTTTGCATAATATCACAAAACCTCATAGTTAGTAGCTCTCCCTTGTTGGCGCTTACTTCAACTATACATGCAATTACAGAGATCACGATGAAATAAGAGGGCAGGGGTACCGGAAACCACATTTTATGCCATCACGTGATGACTAACTATCGGTCGCTTCCGGGCAGAGGTACCTTGACCCCCATGGACGGGAAGACCAAGAAATGGAAGTAGACTTTGCCATGACTGATTGAACATATACCAATTACTTAAGCCCATGACGATAGACGTTTACCATGAAACCAGCATGCCACAAAGGGGAATAACATAGAGGTAGATCTGCTTTTGGGGAGGAACCTTTCGTTTTATGATGTAGCAAACGCTGCCCTGTAGCAACAGTGTTTGAAACTGCAAATACAACGAACAGCACAAACTTGAGACGTTGGGCTAACGCGTACACTTCAAGGTTATGATATCAAAACCCATCGATATTGCAAAAGAGCATAACAGACGGTTTATTTATACACAGCACAAACATGCCTCAATTAAACCATTGACTTCTACCGGCACTTCGGTTTATGTTTCAGGACATTCTTCAAGGTAAGGAGGTTCGTGTCGTACGTCACTACCGGTCAATCGTTCTGATTGACCATATTTCATAAATAAACCGTGTTTTGTGTTTTTTTAATATGATCACCAACGCACGAACAAAATATTCATTTAACTACCGATATTGTCTTATTCCGGCCTTTTATTTTAACAAAGAAGAAAGCACGTCTACGGCTCCATATTTATGGGATTTAAAACGAGGTGCATACTTTGATGCCGACTCGTCGATGATGTTAGAAGGAAGGAATTGGACTCGCAGTTTCGTATGAATCACGGAGGTAAACTTCGTTAAATTCGCTTTAAGTACAATCTGCTCACTTCAAAGTGGATCAGACTCATGAGCAAAGTGAACCAAAAGTTTTGACAATCCATTTGGTTGAAATTGGGAAATAAAGAAGTATGACATCATAACCCAGAGGCCGAGATTTTTGAACCAGCTGATAAACTCTGTACTTCTCAATGATATCAGTCATTCTTCCTTCAGAATTAAGCTGCCGCGGTCTGAATTCTATTACCGCGGTCAAATTGCTCACCAGGCTTTGTAATTTGCACAATGAGGTACATGACCACAGAGGATTCGTTCGATCCAGATCACGTTCAGCATAAACAGTTACCGCCAAGCAAGGTCCATGCTCAATGACTGCTTTTGGATCTCGAAATGAACGCTCTCTCAGTGCTGACGGCTAGCGTTTGTCTAGGCATTGCGTTTTAACTGTCGCGTATTCTCACCATGGAGGGCACCATCTCATACCTGTATAAAGAGGTTCTGAAGTACATTACAGATTTATATCGGGAAATTCGTATAGGTTGTTCTGAACATGCGGAATGCTCCTTTTTGGTTTAATAACGATGCCCAAGAGAGCCTCGATAGCTATGCAATATCAGCAATCAGTAGAGCATTTCCGTCATGGTTTGTACTGCCTCACTGACCGAGTTGTCTGATTTTCCCTGGTTTGACATATGCGACTTCAAACAAGACAGAAATGCTTTGTGACACAGTAAACTCGATTGAACAGCATCGCATATTTTCTTTACAATGGATTCCCGATAGTTTGAATAACACGTTCATCCTGCACTGTACTGGTCTTCTTCTGCGTCACCTCTGCAGCAAAACACCCAGCTCGATTCGTTCTGGAATGGCTTTGTACCAATGATCATATTCATATGAAGGCCTGATTTAAATTATCTTATTAATTTGGTTATGTTGTGGTAATTAATTGCTGAATTGTGATGATGTCCCTGCTGTCACAGGTGCTGACTTGTTAATACATTCATATATGCTGATTTCGTGCCTCCATTCGTTGAATTAGTGTAGTTTTAAATGGCTCGCGTTGAAGAGGCATGAGCTTGCCACAACATCCAATAAAATATCCTAAGTTGGTGGAAAAGAAACTTTGTCATATTCAATAATAAGGCTCTCGGCTCTCCATAAATTCAACTTCATATCAAGAGGAAATGAACTTTATTGAAGAGTAAGAAACAGCTACTACTGGCTGGAGAGAGACCGATCGGCCGGAATCCCCAGAGAACGCTATGAATGACCAGGCGGATGCGCTGGTTATTTTTTGCTGATACTCAGACTCTGACGCATAAGCAGGAACGTTGGAGACACTGTCTAATGCTGCTACCTGCGCAAACCCAGTGGAAGAGAGGCCATCGAAATTTACGGAAGACCGCACGGCGGCCAAGA